GACTCTAGAGCTATTCTGTACTGCTACTGACTTGTGGTAATCAGATTGGTAGTAGTTTACTAGCCCACTAACCAACAATCCTAATCAAGTTCACTTTCTTGGTAATCAAAAAAGTGCACTCTAGGGCTATTCCATTCAACTACTAACTTGTGAGAATCAAATTGGTAGTAGTCTACTACAACAAACATTAAACTACACTACACTTTTTTGGTAGTCAAAAATGCAGACACTATATAGCACAACACTAATCAGGTAATCAAAAATGCAGACACTACCCAACCAACCACTACATTTTTGGTAGTGAAAAATGTAGAACCACAGGAATTAGTCACAGAATGGTGATGTCATAATGAAAGTTGTAGTGCCTGATCATGAGACCATGAAACTCTGCTTACCTTATCATGAAGTGCAAAAATCCATGAGAGAAATGCAAAATACTTGGAAAATCACAAGTCTTTCAACATATTATGTCATTAGATTGTGATGACATCATAAGTAATGTTATAGCTCCTGACAGGATGATCACAGTGGTGTGCTTGCTTCACCACAATTCACAAAAGTGGGTGAGCTACAGGCTAAAGAAGTTCTACTACTAAATCACTACCAACTCACTACCACCTAGCACTACCTGGTAGCAAGTAACAAGTGAAAATACCAACTGTACAGACTACCAACAATAGCTACCAAGCTCAGCAACCTACATGTGGGTGCCTGTGGGGGACTGTACTGCTGTGATGCTGTGGTGCTGTTGCACTGTGAGTCTGTAGGATGGTGTGGGACAGTGTGGGCCATGCTAGCCATGGGACCATTACACTGTGGGTGACCTGTAACACCCCATGAATACTGTGCTAAAACCAGGAATTTACTGATGCCTACAATTGCAACCTCATGTTCTGTGAACTTGCTCTCTCTTCAGCTCTGGAACTTGCATTTGAAGAGAAGAAAGAAGGTTCTGCAACTGTCAGTTCAGATGCAGAAGATCTAAGTTGGATATTTGGAACTCTCAGATGACTCAGATGTAGAAGCCTAGTGTACAAATGCTGTAGAAAATGAAAATCTCCATTTTTCTATAATTTACTATCACAGGCCCAAGCCCTCTGAAGCCAGGACCAATGCATCACTAATTGCATTTTAGAGTGGGGTAGCTGATAGAAATTTTGCAATCATGCCTACATGTGCAAACACTTGGACTTGATGCAAATCTGCATGCCATATTGATAGATGATGCATGATGTGTGTTAAGAGGTCACACAAAATGTACATTTCTGAGATTCACGTTGCAACAGGGGTAGCTATGGACATGCGATCAAAGGATCGATCGGATTATGAATATGTATGTCGCTACCGAGTCGCGGAGATAATTTACGTCCAGTTCTGTTTAGCTTACAGACCTACATATTGCTTGGCTTTGTCTGTTATCCGTGATGTGCCGCACGACTCCAGTGTCTCGAGCGAATAAAATACTGCTGGAATAAGAAAAACACGCAGAGTACTACCGTCTCCTCATCAACGATACAACACGACGCTGTGCTCTGATGGTGCAATGAAAGTACCCACGAATGGGTGCTTGGTAACATATGCTATTATGCCCCCTTCCCCTCTTCTTCCAACACCGGGCGCCTGCGACTTACACACTCGCAGTTCCATCACGATGTTCTCTCCCCTCACCACTCTCTAGGCTACCTTCTTCATACACGACATCACGAGCCACATCTCGAGTACGCTCCTGCTCATCCGAGGCACGCGGACTCTCTAGTCCGCGCAACCCGAGACCCGGAAGGACGTCCAAAGCGGATGAACCGCGATCGTCATTACCGCCACCGTGGTTGTACGTCCGAGAAGTTGGCTCTGGTTCGCTTTCGGGTCCATCGTCTTCACGCGGGGTGCGTTTCCAGTCTTTTTCGCGGTCGTTTGCTCTGCCTCGCCCAGGCCGTCTTTCGCGTCCTCTCCCCCTCTCGCTTCTTCTCTCCATCTCCCTCTCTCCATCCCTCCCTTCCCTGATGGCATCTCTCGTTTCCCTCGCCATTTCTGTGTCCCTTGTCGTACCGCTCACCCTGCCGTACCCCTGTAACGTCTTCACGATCGCGCAAAAATAAACGAGGCCCAAGAAGAAAAAGGCTGAGATGAGCACTCGGGGGCCAATTGCTGCGTTGGGGCTGAGTGGGGAAGGTGTGACTGGATCGGCTGTGGATCCGGAGTGCCATACGAAAGCGAGGATAGAGACGATGAAAAACATCATGGACCTGCATATATGCGTGATGAGAAAGGGAGAGGAAGGGAAGAGAGAGGGGGAGACGCACCAAGCCAGCCATATCCCGGGCAACGCCAGCATTACCCAGACGTTCCACAAAATGAATGTTGTGGTTCTCTGTGTCTCCTGCGCCCACCGCGTGGCCTTGTACATGCTTTTCATGGTCGCGAATCGGATGATGTATACGCATCCGTACAAGAGGGACATGAGTGCGCAGGTGAGCGAGAGGAGTGCTGTCGTGCGTACGAGGGGGTCGTAGGACATTTCTTGGTTTTGGAACATGGATAGGATGGCTCTAAGAAAAGGTGTGATGAGATGGATGTGAGACGCATAGAATGTCACTTACGAGAGTAGTAGTGCGGAGACGATGTTGAGCGTCTTCCATTCTCGGAGGAGGGAATCGATGAAGGACTCCCAGGAACTCTTGAACCTGACCAGTGCAGGACCTACGTTTGCCGTAGTCCAGTCGTCCGAAAAAGGTAGACCGTGATCGTGATGATATACATTAGGCGTCTGTGGAATGGGGCTCATTCTTGCACGTCGATCCCAGGTACGGTTGCTGGCTTCACATGCACGGAGTAACCTGTCGATATCTGGCTGGCTGACTTCGGCTTCTTCGAAGAGCCTCGCGATGCGCGAGAAATACAAGGAAGGGAGTCGTAGCATTAGGTGTAGGTATACTTGTCTTGGGAGCGTGTCTGTGATGAAATCCTTCGCGCGCTGAGCGTGTTTACGGATGCGGTCTCTAGGATTCGGACAGGGGAAGCAACAGAAAAAGAGGGATTCTTCGCACGCGACGGGGTCGACGAATGGGCGATGGCCCTGTTCGACGTCTGGACTGTTATATAACGAGAACCTGCGAAACCGCCTGCTGAAGGGGTCTACTGGTACGAAGGGCGTTTCGCGTTCACGTTCTTGGCGGTGAAGTCCCCACTGGAGTATGCCGCGGATGGGCGAGGTCGGTCGTGAGCGTGCTGCAGACCTTGGCGGGGAGTCGATCAGGCTGGGTGGTTTGCGTGGTGAGGCGGTATTTGGGGCATTGACGTTGACGCGTAGAGGAGATGATGAGGATGGAGAGGGACGAGTGGGGTCTGATGAACGCGTGTCTCTGAGGAGTGGGTGGTGGAGTTGAGAGTGGGGTGTGCGGGTGTTGGTGGGGTATCTGTTGGGCGAGTCTGAGGCTGTGGATGGAAAGGGGGTCGACGAGGCCATTCTTGCTGGGTATTCTTGCAAGTCTTGAGTGGTATCGATGGTATTCCGGTGGTCCCCTTTGCTCTGGTGGTACTCCGGGGGAATGCAACGGCGGCCTCCCCCCTCCGACGTTCTTAGTCGGACTTAAATAAGGCGGCTGAACGGCGCCTTCCAAATATATCCAGCTAGGGGCATGTGTATGAGGGCGTGACTAAGCGTGTCACGGTGTGACCTGTCCTCTCGACCAACCGCAGACACTCAGTCTCCTCATTCTTATCGCGATGGGATGGCATTCGCTGAAGTCATCCATTACCTGACTTGTATTTGGAGTTGGTGATGGATCTGGGTGGATGAGCCATCCAAGGTCGACCAGCTGGGAGGATTCAGTGGCGACGGGGAGGCGGGGTGGTAGGGAATAGCCAAGGCCAAACACGACCAAACCAGGGTGGTCCCTCTGTCGACAACAGCAGACTCTGCAGCGAGGTCACCCGAGGCCGATTAAAGTTCCGTTGCATGACAGCCCCCTGAGATGTCACGTGACATACCGCCGGCATCTTCTTGGCGGCGTCGTTCTTCCGAGTCTGACAGGTACGTGTTTTGTACCATGAAGGTCATCCAGTTAGGTAGAGCAAGGATGTCATGTTGGTATCCTTGTTCACAATGAGGGTTTGTGAGGCGTGTGTACATGCAGTTTTCATTCGAGCTGTGCGACACTTTGTTCAGGTACGGAACAAAACCATAGAAGCACCGAGGCAGCGATGGCCCTTCTGATTTTTCTTTTCATTAAGCAACGAGTGTTAATAGATTGGCGGTTATCTGTTATCAATGGCCAAGTATGACCGTATTTGTTCTAGTATGATCATTTGGAATGTCACGACTGTTCAGCGGCGTTTTCTAAGATGGAAGAAGAAGGCGGAGACCCGTTGATACCACCAGGAGGGACACCAGAATACCCTCAAGATGTTTAAATACCCCCAGGACAGTAACCAACGAAAATAATATGGCCTCAGGATCGTCGACCACCTGTCCTCCGAGTCTATCCCCAGGCTCAAACTTACCTTTCAGACTCCCCAACAGTCCCGCACGTCACACCTCCTCACCCCTTCTGCTCCGTCAGGATGCCACTCCCTCCTCTTCAAGTGGTCTACGTATCCATATCCCAACTATCTCCACCGCGTCACAGCGCAGACAACCGGACTTGCAGAGATCACCAATCTCGCCCACATACAAGATTTCCCGGTGGGGACGTCACCGCCAGGAACCACCGTTCATACCTGTAGACCCCGTCAACCAGGGACTAGATATCAAACAGAGTCAGTCGATCCGGTCACGTCTCCCTTTTTTTTTGCTTCACCTGTTGAAATCCTATAGAACCAATTCGTAAATATGGGGCGAGGGATTGTCTCACAAATATGCTCAGGCAGGCATATCTGCTCTTGATGCTGGGACTTCCCTCCTTGTACTTCTCGAGGATTGCAAGGGTCTCCGTATCAACAGGTTGATCCGTGCATGCCAAGCCAATCAGGATCGGCGTGCAAGGATGAGCCCCATCCCACAGATGGCCCATGTACATCGTCACGATCACGGTCTACCGTTTTCAGATGACTGGACAACAGGAAACGAGAGTCAGCAGCTGATCAGATTCAAAAATTCGTGGGAGTCGTTCATCGATTCTCTCCTCCGAGAATGGAAGACGCTCAACCTCGTCTCCGCACTGTTACTGTCGTAAGTGATTGTCATATGTATGTATGTGTTACACCCGTTTTATCACATTATCTCTTAGAGCCACCCTGTCTATGTTCACGAACCAAGAAATCGCCTGCAACCCCGCCATACGCTCCATGGCACTGCTCTCGCTTACCTTCGCACTCATGTCCCTCTCATACGGGTGCATATACATCGTCCAATTTTCGACCATGAAAAGCATGTATAAGGCCACAAGGTGGGCGCAAGAAGTGCAGGGAACAAGTACAAATATACTTTGGAACGTCTGGATAATGCTGGCATTGCCTGGGGTGTGGTTGGCTTGGTACGTGATCGTGCTCTCTTCTGCCCCCCTCTCTGCTTTCCCCTTTACTTCTCATGCCGCATACATGCAGGTCCATGATCCTTTTTATTGCCTCTATCCTCGTGTTCGTATGGCGCTCCGGATCCACAACCGATCCATCTACTCCTTCCTCACTCCCCCCAACCGAAGCGTACACTACTAAGACGTTTGTTTCATTCTTTTTCTTCGTGGGCGGCATCTATTTTAGCGCCATCGTGAACACGTTACACGGATACGGGAGGGTAAAGGCGGGGGAAGCGGTGGCAGAGGCGGCAGCGAGGGAAACGAGAGATCCCAGAAGAGAAAGAAGAGAAAGCAGAGATGTAGACCGTGAGATGGAGATGGGGGCAACAGGCATAAAGGAGAAAGGACATAGGGGAAAAGTCGTGATGGTGCTGTGGGTGCATAAGTCGCAGGGGCATACATACATTATCAAGTGCGTTTATTCAACTCATGAGTATACATACCATTGCATCGTGTCGTATATCCAGTGGACATTCGTCAAGATACCTTGTATAGTACACTATGTCTTGTTCTTGTTCCAGGAACATTTAATATGCTCGAGACGCTCGAGTAACCATGTGACGTGCGAATTTGAGAACATACATGTGTCAACGTAATGAGTGAGCAAACTTCGAGAATAACCTTGGGTGGGATCCCTGAGAAATGATTCAGAGGTGACCTGGTGATCAGTGATAGGTGAATTCTAAAGTTTAACGAGGCTTATGATATTGGAGGGTATCGTAGGGCTGCCGTTCCAGGGCACGGAGCAGTCTTGGTCTGGAAAGCATCTTCTGTGAGCCATGATTTCGCCGGCTCAGACGCTCTGGTAGCATGGAAAATCAGGCTAAATGACGAATGATCGAAAAAGAGGAGGATACGGTTTAGATTGCAGGTAAGAAAATGAGGATTTCAGCCATTCTTACGAATACTCAACATTTGTGCATCCAAGGCTTCCTGTGGTTTTCGTCTTCGTGATGGTTTGTAAGCTTGGAAGTCAAGTTTTTTCCATTCCTTCTTTCTGACCTGCGTAGCTACCTTCATTGTGGACGCCTGGCCGTCGACCATTCATGGATTCTAGTCATTTACGTAATGCCACGGTCACAATGTGACGTAACTTCATCCAGGCTGTGGCGGGGTTGCGTGGCCAGTCGACCGACCGCAGACAGTCGAGTGTAATGCAAAAAAGGTCAACAAAAATTCGTTTGCACATTTTTCGAAGGTTGAATTTGTACCACGACAACCCCACGAAGCTATCCTCATTTTCGGTGTCTCATTTTTTTCCTGTCTAGTTGATCCTCTCTGACCACGACGGGGTGGAATTGCATTATACCACCGTATGCATCCGCTATCTGACTCGTATTCCGTGGTGGGTGATGGATGGCGGTGGATGGGCCATCCAAAGGGCGACTAGCTGGGAGGATGAAGTAGGGACGGGGAGACGAGGGAGGTGGGGAACAGCCACAGCCAAACACAACCAAACACAGGTGACAAACACAAAGACGGCTCAGTCGACGACGACAGCGACAACAACGTCAGCGTGGATGCATCCTCGTCGTCGCGGAGGGGACAGACTCACAATAAAACTGCCACCAGCAGGCCATCGCCAACCGGATGATAATAGCATGCTGTCGCCCGCCAGTGGCTCAGAGTATCACGACAGCAGCGAACCCGTCGAAATGGACATCAACCAGGAGGAACCAGAGGAACAACAACCAGAGCCTTTCACTCAGACAAGAGGTGGTCGTCGTATCAAACGCCCTGACTACTACGAGTCGCAGTCGGAGCAGGACCCAAGCGACCTCTTCAACAACGACAACCACGTCATAAACAACACCTCTCGACGCAGCAACCACCAGGATGATGACGATGAGGAGGACCAACAACCTCGACGCTCTACACGTTCAAAGCCAAGACGTGGGTCCGGGCTTGCTGATTTCATCGTTTCTGATGAGGAAGATTCCAAGAAATACCGTCTCCGCGAGAGACGGAAACCACCTACGCCACCTCCTCCAAAGACGTCAAGCGGTCGTGTAAGCAGACAGCCCCAGCGCTTCATCCATTCCGTCGCCGCTCGAGGAGAACAACAGAAGCGCCCCACACGAAAGACACGGCGCACAGCAGCCGAGCTCGACGACGGCTATGTCGACCAAGGAACAGACGGCTCGTCCTCAGAGGCATCTTTAGCCAACGCACCACGCACATCCTCAGACGTTGAACTGGACCAAGACGCAGAGGGTGAACCAGACCCAGACGCCGAAGGCGAAGGCGAAGTGGAAGTGGAGCAAGAAGACGGCAGACCTTACGCGTTCCGTCGACGCACCAAGATCAACTATGCCGTGCCACCCCCTCTGGAAGAACTTAAAGCTCCTCCTCCTCCTAGGAATCGTACAACGGGCGGAAGAGGCGGAAAGAGGCGCGGCCCAGGGTGGAGCGCTACGGGAGCAGAGCTTGGCAGGTGGATGGGTGTGCATGACGACTCGGTGCGTTTGCATGGACATTTCTCTATCCTCACGTATCGAGCCCACTTTAGGACTCGGACGTTCCTCTCAGAACTCCCAGGAGGAACCTGGGCGACGGCGCGCTGTTGGGTGCCGGGGCCATGTCTGCCGGGGGATTGCTACCTGGCGACTTTGCAGCTGCAACGGCAGGAACGCCCTCTAATCTTGGTAAAATAGGTGAAGCCGGTACGTATGCCTTTTGTGTCGTTTGTTCAATGCTGACTGTGTGTGTAGCTCTGGCCGACGCCGACCCACTAGGTGTCAACCAAAACGTGACGTTTGACGAAATAGGTGGCCTCGACGATCGTACGTGCTACTAAAATGGATTTGCGTGTGTCGTGCTGACAGTGAAATAGACATACATGCGCTCAAAGAAATGACTCTGCTGCCCCTTCTCTATCCCGAGGTGTTCCAGCGCTTTGGGCTCACTCCTCCCCGTGGGGTACTCTTCCATGGACCTCCAGGGACGGGTAAGACGTTACTGGCACGTGCACTCGCAGCGACTTGTAGATCGAATGGCAAGTGCATATGTGGGCGTTCTTATCTTTACTCACGCATACACGCACTAACTTGCTTTTCGTTCTAGCTTTCTTCATGCGCAAAGGCGCAGACTGCCTCTCCAAATGGGTCGGCGAAGCTGAACGTCAACTCCGCCTTCTCTTCGAAGAAGCTCGCACCTGCCAGCCCAGCATTATCTTCTTCGATGAAATCGACGGCCTTGCACCCGTCCGGTCCTCCAAACAAGACCAGATCCACGCTTCGATCGTATCGACGCTTCTTGCGTTGATGGATGGGATGGACGGACGCGGACAGGTCATCGTCATTGGCGCGACGAATCGACCGGATGCGGTCGATCCGGCGCTGAGGAGACCAGGCAGGTTTGATAGGGAGTTTTATTTCCCTCTGCCAACTTTAGAAGCGCGAGAGAGGATCTTGGGCATTATGACCAGGAAGTGGCAGGGATGGGAAGGGGAGCAAGGTGCAGAAAATGTTAAAGGGTTGGCTAGGATGACAAAAGGATACGGTGGAGCTGATTTGAGGGTGAGTTGTTGAGTTGTATTGGTTGATGTGAGGACTGTTAACCCGTGATGACGGTACGCAGGCACTCTGCACGGAAGCAGCCTTGAACGCGATACAGAGACGGTACCCGCAAATATATCAATCTAACGATCGATTGTTACTCAAACCGGAGACTATCGGCGTAACATTGCGAGATTTTATGATTGCAGTCCCCAGTGAGTCTTCAGTGTCTTCTTTTTGCGAACAGATGTACTGACGTACACACCAAACAGAACTTGTACCCTCTTCCGCACGTTCCACTTCGACCTCGGCGTCCCCACTCCCTGCACACCTCGTTCCACTTCTTGGAGACGCCCTCGACCGAGTCAAGTCTGCGATGGATAAAGTCCTACCGGTGTCGAAGAAGAAGCGGTCAGCGTTGGAGGAGGCTGAGTGGGAGGATCGGAATGGGGAAGAGGGCGCATTGGAAAGGGAGATGATAATGCAGTGTGAGTGCTTCTTTTTGTTTCTGTATCGTAGTCTTCTCTCGTTCGTCGTGAATTGACATGTACAAAAACTATCGGACAACAGCGATGGAAACGATGCGCGTCTTTCGACCGCGTGTGGTCATCCATGGTCCAGCGGGGATGGGTCAAGCCCACATCGGTGCAGCAGCGTTGTATCATTTGGAAGGATGTCATGTCCAAACCTTGGATTTGGGAACGTTAATGGGAGACTCAACAAGGGTGAGAGTCGTTCTTTTTTTTTCTTTGATGACTCTATAAACCACGCGTGACATGCGCGCTGCAGACACCCGATGCAGCCGTCGTCCAGCTATTCGTCGAGGCAAAACGACATCCCCCTTCAGTCATATACATCCCCTCCCTCTTGAGTTGGTGTACCGCCGTGCCCGAAGCAACACGTTCAACCGTACGCGCGATGCTCGAGTCTCTTTCGCCGACCGATCAGGTGTTATTTCTCGCCGTCGCCGATGGGCCCTTGTCGTCGTTACCGTCAGACGTGAAGACCTGGTTCGGTATCACACGTGGTTCTCGTATCGCGCTCGACCCGTCTACGCCTGCATCCCGCGAGGCTTTCTTTGCCTCCCTCATCGCAGACATCCGCCGTCCTCCCAACGCGTACCCTGATGGAATTGCACGGCGCAAACGCGTGCTGGAGGTTCTCCCGCTAGCACCACCACCGGAACCGAGACAGCCGAGTGCAGCGGAGTTGGCGGTACAGGTTGAGGCGGATCGGAAGGTGATGACGGTGCTCAAATATCGGTTGGGGCCGATCTTGACGGAGTTGAAGAGGAAGTTTAAGAGGTTTACTAAAAGGGCTAGGGTGAGTGTCGGCACCCTAATTATTATTATTTTCTTCATTCTGACGTGGTTGGTTGTTGCTGATGATTTGTTTGTTACAGGAAGATTATGACTTCGATGCTGTTATTCCGCCGACCACCACTGGTGACGCTGTTGATACTGCAAATAGTGCTGATGCTGGAGGCACTGGTACCGGTGTAGTGACCGAAGTTGAGATTGTGGCCTCTTCTTCGAACGTCATGATTCAGGATGTGAACGGGATCGTCGAGGTGACGAACAACGAGAAGGTACAAGAGGTGGTGCATCACCACCTTGGCGAAGTGAATGGGATTGTTGGGGATGGTGGTAATGACCATCATGATGTGCATCTACCAGGAGGGCCGTCAGCTTTGTCGGTGGTACCATCCACCAATCCGATGTTGTCGCAGGTTCAGGCGCAGGTCCAACTGCTTCCGCCGTCATCGTTTCCTTCTTCGAGCCAAAACCAGGCGCAGTCGTCGCATATACCGCAGCAAGGACAGATGGAACCTGACACTTCAGAACCACAACCACCGCAACCGCAACTGCAGCCGCATCCCACCGTTCAACTCCCCATATTGTATGACATGGACCTGGAACGGATGCACATCGATCTATACAAAGACAAGTACCTCACGCCTCAAGATTTCCTAGACGACATCCGGAAGATCGTACACAACGCGACTGTGTGCGTCCATAAAGATCCGGATCGGTTGCATAAAGCCCAGGCGATGTTGACTGCGGCGGAAATGTCTATGTTGGAGTTCGATCCGCAGTTTGGGGTGGAGTGTCGGAGGATGGCTGCGCGTGAACGGAAGAGAAGGGAGGAGAGAAGGAAGGAGAGGGAGAAAGAGAAAGAGAAAGAAAGGGCAAATGGGAATGGTGGTGGTGCAGAGCAGAATGGGAACGGGAATGGGGCGTACGCTCCGGGAACGCGTAGGAGTGCACGGCATAATGGACAACAGCCCGAAATTCAGATCACGGATCCGCTCCAGCTTGAGAGACGGTTGAAGCGTGCACGTTCGTCTGGTGAGATGTCGGGTGGGGGGTCGCCTGATGCGGGACCCGGAGACGACAAGGACAAGGACAAGGACAAAGTCGAGTCTGGTACCAGCCCTAGACAGCAGAAACGGGCGCGGACGGTATCGAGCGAGGATGACGAACATGATCCGATCGATTTCATTAGGCCTTGTAGTAGCTCGCAGCAGCGACAAGCGCCCAGCGTGGTCAGGTTTGCGAATGGAGGTCAACTGGTTCAGGAAGACATGGTATCTACTTTCGTTTCGGATCCGCCCCCTCAACAACGTCCGGGGGTCATCGTACAGAATGGAGTTGGACCGGACACGATGGTTGTCGACCATCATTATCGACCCGCCGCTTTGTCAAGTCAGGACAGCTTCAACCCGTTCCTGGTCGTCGACCCGATACTGCCTCGGCCTCAACCAGAAAAAATGCCGACTATGTCGATATCGCGTCTGCTCAATGGAGACACGCATGCGTCTTCCAGTAGTCGTAATCCCACCCCTACGCCGAGTCCTATCCCCCCACCGCAGCAGCAGCAGAGTAACGAGCTCCCACACTTCCCACCCATACCTTCATTGCATTCTCCCCCACGCACACCTGTGCGCCCATCTGCCGATCCTGCACCTTCACATCTAAGCGCCGAGCCAATGGTCGTGTCTCCACCGCCACGAGAACCCTCGCGCCCGCCTACCCCTCTGCCCGACTTCCACGTCGATGGAGAGCTCCTGTCGACTTTCCAATATCAACTGACATCCAAGACAGACCAGTTTTCGGTGGAGATGCTTGAACAGCTTCGAGCGATATGTGTTGGTTGCGTCTGGAGACACCGTACGGAATGGAACAGGGACGCTCTCGTTCGGGAACTTGTCGGTGTGCTGGACGAGTATTTGGACGATGCCACCGCTGCCGCTGGAGACGTCGGTTCGTCATCGTCATCGCCTGTGTATGGCTCATTTTAATAGTCGTTCGTTGCGTCTTCATCCTTCCGTTTCTTGTTCTTGACCTTTCTTTTTGCTTAGCCACCTAGATTATCGTCTTTATTCGACTTTTTTCTTCCCTCGATCGCGTGTATTTTATATGCTCATAAAGTGTAGCGGAAAACAACAATCACCTATAATGATGATATGCTCAGAACCTCCGTCAACATTTGATACTACGATTCTCGAGCTCTCCTACGTCTGCCGGGATGCGAGCTTTGACTCGGACTGCATAGATGCCTCATACATATTCCGTCAACAACTGTGAGGAAGGGGGGGCGCATCAGGAGGCAAAGAGAAGAGTCCCTGCGACCTCAGGATCGATGACGGCGATGATTCTGTCGAAGCGACGTGGGAGGGCGTGCAAACGGACGTGCAGTCTGTAGCAAGAGGAGTGGGTTCGTCGGAATCCGGACACTGACAGGTGAATCCCCAGAGGGGCAGAGGGGGGGAGTGACCATTATGGTATCAAATGTTGTAACATGAAATAATTTAAACACACTAGTCATTAGAGAATGTGTGATGTTACATAGAACATCACAAGTAAATGATAAATGATTTGTATGTGATAATACTAATGACCTTTAACCAAGTCTTCCAATGTTGACCCACAAAACATCAGATTATTGGCTCAATGTTTACTTCATAAACATGACATTTAAAACAATATTTGTTATGTGCAAAAACATGCTACTGAGATTGCATATTAACATGCTAAATATTTTCAATCAAATCACACTGATTTGTCTCCCAGAGAACATGATAAATAAAGAGTGTATTAAAGTGTCCTGTTGTACCACAGAACATGATAAGTGGTATCTGTAACCATCAATGCTATCACTGCCTGTCCTTGCTCAACCACCCTATCACATGCTGTCACATGATCTTATCTCATGGAATAAACCTCAGTCAGTCATGATATGTGCCACCTGACTTTTTATACTTGAGTATTCTGTGTCCTTTGTTGTTTTTTCTTGCAACAACACATTGATGACACACATTATAATGTTCTGTGGTAGAACAGGATAGTCCAAAATCCATGGTTGCCCTGACTGACTAGAGAAAGAGTAGCCTCTGATAGCACCCCCACCACTCATGAATGTCCCCAGTCCACTTTTGAAAGTGAAAGAGCACAAGGCAGTTCATGCAAGAAATGGGGAGTTCAGCATGACCCCATGTAGTCCATTTAGTCACAACGTATAGGTAGCCTGTGTGCTGAAATGCCAACACTTATATAGACCCCATGACAGGCCTGAGGGCCTATAGTGAGAGCAACATATGTATGGGCATGTAAGTGCAATTCCACAACATATGGGAGGGCCTGTGGAGGGTAAGGATGCTGCAACATATAGATGGGCCTGTGACCAAGTAAGTATGCTAAGCTACTGTAAGACATGGACAGGCCTACCTATTGTATCATGAAGAAGGTCACAACATATGGACAGGCCTGCCTGTCATATGCTTTATAGGGTCACAACATAAAGAGGGGCCCATCTATGATAGATTACAGAGTTGGCAACATATGGAAGGGCCTGTCTTTGGGATAATATACCCCTGTCACAACATATAGACAGGCCCATCCATAGCAAGATGTACACCTGTCACAACATAAGGATGGGCCCATCAGTAATATCATTGACAGCATCACAACACATAGATGGGCCCATCTAGTAAGATGCATCCCTGCTGCAACATAAAGACAGGCCTGTCAGTAATGTCATTTATAGCATCACAACATATGGACAGGCCCTTCCATAATACCATTTATACCATCACAACACATGGTGGGCCCATCCATAGTAAGATGTACCTGTCACAACATAAAGACAGGCCCTTCAATATATATCATTTACAGGGTCACAACACATGGATGGGCCCATCAATAGCAACATGTATGCCTGTCGCAACATAAAGATGGGCCCATCAGTAATATCATTTACAGTGTCACAACACATAGATGGGCCAATCTAGTAAGATGCACCCCTGTCACAACATAAAGATGGGCCCATCAGTAATATCATTTATAGTGTCACAACATATGGAAGGGCCCTTCAGCAGTATCATTTATGTGGTCACGACATAAGGATGGGCCCTTCAGCAGTATTATTTATATGGTCATAATGTATGGATGGGCCCTTCAGTAATATCTTTTATATCACCATAAGACAAGGATGGGTCCATCTAGTAAGATCCACCCCTGTCACAACATAAGATGGGCCCAACACCAATAGCATGTATAGCATCACAACATATTGATCAGATCACAGCAAAATATTGAGGCAAGCATCCTGACATGCCATAATTTTCCAACAAGCTGCAAGTGGCTTGCCCACTATACAACTCCAACTTCATCCACCCCAAGCATGAATACTATGCAAGACATGTCTAAAACCCCCACAGATGGCAAATGGAACTAACAGACTGCATTGTGTCATACATGAAAGCCAGATTTCAAGAGGAGGTATTCAGCAGACCTTGCACCCTTCCAGATATATCAATTCCATTTCTGGTGTTATGTGAAGTGGTTCACATATCATCAGTAATCTCACAGGCCTATTGTTGCCCAAGTAAGTCCATCATAATGGTGTGATGGAAGTTTTCATCTTTCTGCAGTCAATGTTGGGAAAAATTGGGGTGGAAAAACCTGCAATGCAGAAGCTGCTGAGAGATATGCAGAAGTGACTGAGCCATCCATTCTGGTGACTGACTCAAACACCATCCATGTTTGGTATTTGCTGGATGCTCTCAGCCCAAAAAGAAGGGTAAGGGAATGCAGAATCTCATATTCTACTGACTTAAAGGAATGGCAGGCTGACATATGGAACTGCCTTCATCTTCTGAGGGAACCACTGTGGGAGAGCATAAAGGGTTCCCCACAGGCATGGCAGACAGACAAGTCATATTTCCACAATAATGCTGAGTTGAAAGGCACCATCAACCTGTCACCCACATGGTTTCAACAGGGTCATGGGGTGGGTGATCATTTCTTTCCTTGTGAATAAAGCACTCATCTGTCTTGAAGCCCCAAAATGGCTTCCTGGAAGCCTCATGGCTGCTCAAATCCAGGACAGAAAACACTTCTACAAGGGAATGGGTTGACCAAATGTCTGACACCAATGCCCTGTTATCTGCAATCCTGCATGTCTTCCATCCATGAATGTATGCAGATGGCAGGGAAGTGTTGATCTGCCTTGGCAAACAGGTGGAATGGCAGGTGGATTCAGATATGAGCTCCATGTATAGCAGCATGTCTGTGATGGTGAATTGGGCAACTTGTTACCACAGGGATATCAATGGATGGGATCCATGGTATGACATGCTGGTAACCATGGGTGACTACCTGCCCTTGGACTTTGTCATTCCAACATTGAATCTGTGGCTGTGCTACAACCCAGGGATGATCATTGCATTTTCAGGTTCAGCATTGGAGCATGGGGTGGGAGCTGTAGACAGTGACAGAGCATGCCTGGTGTACTACATGTGTGCCAATGTACATCAGTCAGTGCATGTTCCTGTGTGTCAATCACCATGGATGGATGACCTACTACCTAGACCAGTTGCAACTGGAGAACTGTTGATTTGAAGCTGCAAAATTTAATGTAAGATTTAGTAGGCAATGTGGATCTCGTATTTTATTAGGATATGCTGGCTCTCGAACTTCAGATGGGTGGTGTTGCCAAGATTTTGCAAATGGGCAGGTGCTTTGACATCATAGATTGGGTGGGTACTCAGAGCTAAAGGGTGTGCATCATAAACTGCAAAAAAAATAAACCTACTCAGGCCATCATGCAGATGGGTGGGGGTTTGGACATCATGTGAATGGGCAGTATCTCATAAATGATTGACATTCACAGCAATGTATATACAACCAACTCCACAGTCAAAAACATGTAAGCTATTGAAGTGGCATGCCCAACAACCTGCACAATGCCCACCACCTAGTGTAGAAATGCTCAATTTGTTGACCCTGACTGTTGACAACATCAGCATATGTCTGAATATTTTTGATGCAGTAGTTTACCTGCTCCTCAATATGGCCATTGAGATGGTCTGCAATTGGCACCTCAGGCAATGGCCATAAGCCTGCACCATCATCAACTATTTGCAGTGATGAGAATAAGCAGCATACCTTAAAAAAATCCCAGGCTGTGGAAAACAATCCCTTGCCTTGCAATCTTTGGGAATCCACTGCATATTCCTCAGAATGATATAGCCACCAAGGGAATGCAAAGCCAGAATTGGGATCAGCTGCATGTGGGGTCCAATGTGGGACAATGGTGCTGATATTGTCAATTATGCAAAATGTGCTAAGGGGAATTAGCTGCATTTGATCGCAGAAGCTAACCTCATCATCTTGGTGTCTGAGGTATGCATGGTAGCATGCTGGGAGGGGAGGAGTATAACTGGCATGCAACACTGTCACCAGAATCAAGCTATTAAGCTGATTCTGAAGGAATTGTGTATCAGTCCCACATTGTGAAAAATTGATGTAAAATCTACCAAGTCCATTGCTAGGTTTGCAAACCAATGTGCAGGCCATCCCATGATATTGGCAGTCTGCTTCAGATGTACAGAGGCCACCTTGATCTGGCATGCAAGTTGAGGATACCCATCTCTACCACAGACTGGCAAGATGGGTGTGATTGGCTGGTGATGAATGGCTCAGCACAATTTTCAAAGGCAGAACGTGGATAATGAACAACTTCCATCAAATTGAGCATATTGATGAGTTGAAGGCCCTGAGAGGCTGCACCATACTGGTCCCTTGCAGCTGTGCCCAATTCTCTTGCAATGGCATTCACAGCCTGCACAAGGTGCCTATTGAGGGTGGGATCAAATGGCATGTCACTGGGAGTGGTGTTTCCATGATAGCAAGATACCATGGCATGCAGGACTAAAATTATCAATGTCAAAGGTGTATCAGATTAAGCTCATGCCCATACCTTGATCACAATGCAGAACAGGTGCCAATCCCCATTGTTCCATTTGAAGAGATTGCTGTGCAGATGCAAGTTCACCTACATAATCAATGGATATCACCAATCACATGAATAGAACCAAATAAATGCTCACCATTGCATATTTCTTCAAAAAGATCCCTCATCTCTGATCATTTGGGCATGCCAAAAGTCAAATGGTTTGTGCCATTGTCCTCATCCACTGCCAAGTCAAATGATTTGATGGGTTAGACACATTCTGCAAGTCTGCCAGAAAATCAACCTGCATAGTAACATCTTGTGCAGGTGTTGAAGACCTGTCCATCCTGTTTAATTTCTCATGTGTGACTGGCAGTGCCAATGGTTCCTGTGCATTCAGCAATTGCTTGAGTAGATCCATGTTCATACCATCTGCTGGGGGAGCAGTTGGTTCCCATTCATTCAGGAACTGATTCATCAAGTTGTTGTGTGGATCTATTACTAGAAAATTAGTTTGTTTGTTAGCTTGAAGGGCAATCATGAGAGAAATCATGTTCACTCACCAGCCATGATATCCATGTTCAACCCCACCATATCCACCCTTCCACTTGAGACAATTGGTGGAGGGGTTGGCTCTTGCAACTCATGCAGTTGTACTAGTGTCTCCTCCAGATTTTTGGACTGCTTCATGCAGGAGCTAGATTGCCTTGGCTCAATTGGTCTTACATTAGCTGTGGATGGCTTAGGTTGCTGGATCCAACAATGAAGACAACCTCACCTTGACAATGGAAACAAACTTGGCAGGACTGTTCAGTGGACATATTTGACAATGATGGGTTCACTGATAGGTCAATGATCAATCAAGGTTTAAACTTGTAGGAACAATGGTGAGAATATCATTCACACCATGGGAAAGCAAGGTTGGACAATGGCAGACATGGCCATATTTGGTTCAGCAAGGTTGGACGATGGCAGATGGAGCCCAGTTTTGGGTAACAGCAATACATGGGAGATGAGCAGCAATATCTCCCTACATAGATAGCTACCAGTCACTTCCACATGGCCAATACATAGACCTGTCCCACTCAGCTCTCTGCTCAATTGTCCTGCTCAACCATCCCACTTAACTATCCCTCTCTCTGATATCAAAGATGCCTCTCACAACCACCATGGTGTCATGAGCTACCATACATGCCATACACATGTATTCTAATGTGTCACACTAGGCTAAGCCCTCTATAGACTGTACACAAGTTCCAAAAAAGGTTTCTGCTCTGACTGTTTGAGGGATTTGACAACTACTTCTGCTTCTGATTGCTGCCTGTTTTCTTGTACGATCTCTTTGCATCAGGAGATGGAACATCTGCATCTGGCCTTGCAGGGGCCTTTCTGACATGAGGTGACTTCCAGGTGCTCCCAGGGATGCCCTGTTTCACATTTGCAGATGCTGCATTGGCAGTCACAGATCCATTATGGTCAGACTTGGGCAAGTATTTGGCCCCAGGTTGATGTTGATTCATGTCTGGCTCACTCGATTCTGACAGAGCCTGCTTAATATACAGTGCAAACTTGTTAGCCATAACAGCTGATTCAACATGACCGAACTTGCCTGTTGTGTGCGCTTCAGGGTGGATTTCAGCTTTCCAACTTTTTTTCTGCTCATTGACCCCTCCTCAGTTGGGTGGTCAGTGAAAGGAATGCTCTCCAGTCCATCTTCATCTGTGTATTCTGAGTGGTCCTGTAGTTCAGTTGTGTACTTGTTCCCTGAGTGCAGATCAGGGTTTGCTGTGAATACAAGTTACAGTGGGAAGCTCACTATTCAGGGATGTTGCCATTTTCTTTGAATTGGATAGGGTGGGCAAATAAGTGTCTTCATCAGCTTCATCATTGGAATCATGGCCATTGCTTTCCCACCCATTATAGTCAGTTAGTGCTTTATTTTGCAGATGATGCACCAGGGTCTTTGCAGGGCTGGAGGTGCAGAGAGCCACTCACTATGGGAACCATCAGATGGTGGGGGATTTGAGCAGGAATGAGAAGGAAATGGTGTCTTGGCACAGTTTTGCCTCCTGCCAGATACCTGAAGACCAGAATTGCATTAGTGCTGATCTGTTGTGCATGAAAATCACACATGGCACACCTTTTTAGTGGAGGGACCATCTGTTCCAACATCACTCACCTCAGCCTTGCTGTGATCATCCAAACTGTCATCCACACTATTGTCCACCACTCCCTCTTCCTGCACTTTACCCTTGCCCTTGACATTGTTCCTTCCAGGATTCTTTTTGCATTTGGGGGCAGGTGTCTTTTGGTATTTCTGCTGCCTCACAACCTGGAGGGGTGCCAAAGTTCTATCCACCAGTGGCTGCAGCTCACCAGATCGGTCAATCTATTTCTGAAATCCAAACACATCATTTGGATGGGATTCCTGTTGCTTGCACCAAAAGGACAGCAGCTGGGTAGCTGTTGTCATCCACATGTGACTTGGGTCATGGTTGAGGGTAAATCCTTCAGGAAGATGGCAGGCTGCTATCATTTCCACTTGATGATGACCAAAATTCTTGAATGGCACTGCTGATGAGGGATTTCCACATGCTAATCTTGATAGCACTCATCAGAGATTGAGGACACTAAATACTCTGGCCACTCATGGTGGTGAGCAGTCACAAATCCATGAACCATTTTTTGTAGTTGGTCCTGGCTAAGGCCCACAATTTCTCCTATCCAAATCTCTCCATCAGCATTTTTCACCAATTTCACAGAGTCAACCTTGCTGGTCCTTGTTGCTTTGGCCACTGTCTTTTTCTGAGAATGTTTGGGACTTGACTTGCCATCATGCTCAGGTGGTGTTCCTGGTTCCTCAAATGTTTCCCCAAGGTACTCTTGCCAGCTTCCTTCCAGTGTGCAGACATCATTGAAGGGGATTCCATCCATGATTTCATTATTGAAGTCCATACTGTCATTGCATGAGTCTTACCTAGGCCTAGAGGAGAATATGGTGGACTCACATGCTTGCCTGTATAGTTCCCTCCTCATTTTTCCACCCAGCCATACACACTATGCACATTCTGCAATACCTCCACATCTCCATTGCAAAGTTTTGGACATACTTGTACCCATACTTGGCTGCATTCCTGGGAACCAGGATAAATTGAAGACTGGGAAGTTGACCTCATACAATTTCACCTTGCTTTTGTCTCTGGTGTGGGGCCTTCCTGCCCATTCCACCTTTCCACTATATCTTCAGCTGCAGCCAATTGTTCCTCCATCAGGTTGTCCTGAATAAAAGCCATCAATGCATTCTGATACTGTTGGATCTGCTTGCTTCCATGGATATCGCCTTCTTCTACTTTCATTTTTGCAAGCTTCCCCTGTATTTGCTCTTGGTACAATTCATGGACCACTGCCCACACAGAGTATTTGTAACTGGATCTAAGGGTAATGCAGGGCTTCTTTGAATGGAGGGGCTTTTTCATCCAATCTTGTATTAGCTACAAGGGTGCTTTGAATTGTGAGCATCTGAATCAGAACTTTTAGAGCATGCCTTGCACTTGGTCTGGACTTTGCTCCCTCTCAACTCCTTGTTCCTGTCCAATCACTGCATCTCCTCCCATATGGATAGCAGAACTGCAGGCTTCTTCTTCTTCCCTGCTTGCCTCCATTCCTGGTGTTGGCACCCAAGGATCTCCAACTATTCCACTTCAAATGTTTCTTCCTCCCTTTCCCCCACATCTGATGGTTCTATGTCTTGCTCACCATCAGCATCATCTCTTTCTGTCTGATCCCAGGCATCTGATTCATACTGGGACTCCATGGAGTATG